CAACCTTAATGATTCTATGATTCAAAGTGAGCTCATTTTTGCCTTTTTTTTTAATTGTGATAATGCTGTTTCTGCACTAAGGTGACATAATGGAGATTTTTAGTTCTGAATGGGAATAAATAACTGAACAGTAGGATATTCTAGACAATAGTCTACACTGATTTTTTTTTTTTTGAGTGCTGATCTTGATGATGTTGATGTTAGTATCTTCATAGAAGGAAACAAACTGATTCTTGCATTTGAAAAGTGATTAATTTTCTTGGTGTGAAGAATGTGTTTTTTTGTCTCCAAGTAAATATATTTGCTGTCCAAGGACTAAATACATATTTGAAAATTTATGGTTAACAATTTCATTAAAATAATCCTTAAAAATTTAGCCCTCTGCCACAACTGTTCTGGATTCAAATAGTTTTTATTCATTCTGAAGAAAAGAGGTCTTGAGTGGAAAAATAAATTGTTTTTCTCAGATACCAGGGTTTTTCATCATTTACTAGCTTGACTGGATCCAGAAGTTACTAATGTTAGGATAACCTTCTGGATATATAACAAGCTATGGTAAAAGGCTTGTAAAATTCACATGGTCTCCACAGTAAAATTCATCTGCATTGAGAAAATAACTCATTTACTAAAGTGTATCTTTTAAAAATAACACTTGCACACTAACAACTTTATGAGCTCTGGCTAGCAGTGGCCTCTAAATAGTAAGACTAGAATTTCTTTTGTCCCTAATGTGTTTGATTCAGTGACTAAACCCTGCCAGACACAGTGCAGTGATGAACTGTGTTTAGCTTTCTCATCAGTCTTCTGAACTGTGTAACTTAAATTTTATTGTTCACATTTTAACTGTGTTTAATGTTGCTTTTGCTACTTGGCAAGAACAAATTGCTGAGCAGTTCTGTCTTTCCTGTGTTAGTATCAACAATTTTACTATGAATTTAAACATGATTAGTGAACATGCTGAAAAGTAAAATGAACCCTGTTACATGTAGCTCATTCTTCCTTTCTAGATTTCTGTCTTAATTCTTGTTGTTTATCTTTTATTTTTAACAATACAGAATTTCAGCTGGAGTGACTACTAAAAATAGTAATGTATGTAACAAGGCAAAAAAGTGTTTCCAAGTATATCTGTGATTGCTAGCAGCAGGCCATGCCATCATCCTTGCTATGTTTGAAAACACAGAATAAAGTCTCAACAGTTTTGTCCCTGTTTTGTACTAGAAAAATGAAGTGTTAGATTCTACATGTACACAATAAGTTTATCTGCCCTTGCTTCTTTGGCCATAGTTTTCTTAGTGTGCTCTTCTTTTTCTGGTTATATATCAGTTTTTGTTTTCCTCTGTTCTTTGTAATTTCATGGCTTTTCTCAAAATTATTATTCTGAATTTGGGGGGTGGAGGGAGGTGGTTACTATTTTGAAATGGGTCTATCTTGTCTTAATTGTGAGGTTATGGTTTTTAGAATATTATCTAAAGGTTCTCACACACTTGCCATTTGTCACTTTAAAAGTTTTTTTTTTTCCCTTAGTGGGTCAGAATTGTTTTTAGTGAGATTTTTTTTTCTTGAAAAGATAATGTGCTTAAATATTAGTAGTCTTCATTTGCAGAGACGTGTTTGTGCTATTATTTTAGGAATAACAGCTATACGCATCACTAGAATTTAAGCCACCACTAATTAATTTTAAATTCTGTTATCCACTCCCAGCAAACCTCAATTCCTGTGATCAGTTTTGTGCCAAAATGGGCAAATTCCATGAGATACTTACATACTGTGCTATTACTTTCAAGCTGGAAAAATATTTAATAATTTTTAGAAATTCCAGAAATATTTTAGTGCTGGCAACCTAAGACTTGCAGCTTATGTAATGCTGTTATAATGGTGCAAGTTTGCTTCCCTCAAATTTTCAGCACTTTATGAATGGTTGTTTAAGGAACTGGTCATCCCGCTGCTAATGTAATTCTTCAGTAGATAGCGACTACTTGCATCATCTTCTCCTTTGTGGGTTAGACCACTGAGTTATAAAGAATCAAGAAAATACAGTTGTCAATGTTTCCAAAATGTACTTCTGCCGTTCTGCACATTTTGCTCATTCAACTATTTGACTGATTTTTCTGTTGGTATGACAAGGAATCAAACAAGACTGGTCTTGTTGCAAAGGAAGATCAGTGCTTCTTGGAATACTTTGCTTTGTACCCTATTTATGGATTTGGGGGTTGGGGAGGGAGATTCGTTTAAAGAACTCGGCCACCTTTTTTTGTGGTAGTGACAGAGTAATGATACTTGTGCCCATCTGGATGGTTTTCTCTTGTTTTGAAGGTTTTTCTGTAAAATTTATGGAATACAGATACTCTAAGTGCTACTTTTATCTCTTTTCAGTGTCCGATTGTTGCCCACTGGTGTCTGTATGGTAGTCTAAAGGAATTTATTTAATTTTATGCAAGACTTAGAACAACTTGTCAGAAGATTCTTTTATTGAGGGAAACCTAAGACTTCCAAGAGTGCTTTTTTCCTTCCCTTTCAGCCAAATATATCTAATCTTGCTTGCTTACTGGACTGCTATATGGCCATGCCACGTTTCTTGGAGTAGCTGTTTTGCAGAATTTGGTGACAAGTTTGTGAAACTATCCTCCAGCTGTAGTCTGGGGGCAAAGCCATAATCTTCCCTGGGAAATACTCAGTTATTAGTTTCAGTTACTGTTTTCCTGTGTCGTTAGCTCTGCATGGCAGTAGCCTCAACTGTATACTAGCAGGTGTAAATTCATTGGGAGAATGTTCATTACAGCTAGTTACAGTTAGCTCTCTCTTATTTACATGATTGCAGCTACCTGTCTAGGTAGTCTTTGTGGGAAAAGGCAAAAGTTGCAAAATCTGAGTAAGCCAGTGTAAATTAACTTTGTGTCAGCACTACACGTTCTTGATTAGGGAGATGGAAGGAGTTGGCTGCTACAGCTGCAGTTCATAACTGGCTTTTGGCTTACAGTGATGTTGACTAAAACTGCATACAAAAACTTAAGCAGATAAATTTTGTTTTTCAGATAAATGGAAAATGGTGTATTATTTTTGCTGGTTTTTTTTTTTTTTTCCCCATAACATATGAATTTAAACACGATTAATGAACATGCTGATAAGTAAAATGAACCCTGTTACATGTAGCTCATTCTTCCTTTCTAGATTTCTGTCTTAATTCTTGTTGTTTATCTTTTATTTTTAACAATTCAGAAATTCAGCTGGAGGGATTACTAAAAATAGTAATGTATGTAACAAGGCATTTCCTTTTCCTGGGAAACTGTGATTCCCTTGCAAAACCAAAAACTACATCTGTTTGAAGTACTGTAAGTGGAAGATAGTATGGGAGAAGGCAAGAAAAGGGGAATAAGAATTTGGGGGAATGTAGTCTTTAAAAAAAGTCACTGTATCAAAGAGAAGATGACTGATTTCTTATAACTATTTGTGCATTCGCAACATAAAGTATGTAAGGAATTGTTTTGAGACTTATAAAATGTTACTTTGCAAGTTGGAGACTGTCTTAAAGCAGCAATATTAGTTAAATTGATGTTCATTTAGAAAATGAGATCTCTAAAAATACCAATTTAATTTCCTCACTGATTTTATTTTGATTATATAATGTTTGGAAGGGGGTGGGGGAGCGCTAACTGAAGTTTTCTGTGTACCTTTCTTAGGTTTTCAGTACTTACTCAAATGAAGACTATGACAGACGTAATGAAGAAGTTGACCCTGTGGCAGCCTCAGCTGAGTATGAACTTGAGAAAAGGGTGGAAAAAATGGAAGTGTTTCCTGTGGAAATTGAAAAAGGTGCATTTACAAGAGATGTTATGTGCACAAAAGATGAAATAATTTTCAATTTTACTCTCCCCAAATTTATGTCTTAAATGAAAGCTTTGAACATACATTTAAAAATTCATGTCTAATTCTGTTGCATTAACTGGACAGGACTCTACTAAGTGCAAATGGTCATACTTAATTGAAGTCAGGGAGGCCACGTTACTGAGTGACAGATCTGCACTGAAATATATACAATTCATAGGTCTTGTTATCTCCTCCAGACACTGTGAAGCTTTGAGTCTAGCAAGCAGTCATAAGTACAGAACAAAAAAGCTTTAAGTAGTATTTAAATAGAAAATGTTTTCTTTTTTTAAAGTGAATTTTCATCTCTTCTGTGAGGAAGGACTTGGAATGCTTTAAAACTGCTCACTTCTGCTAAGTGTTACAGTTTGTGCTATGCAGCTCATGTTAGATTTTTGAATCCTTTAGGTGACAGTGGTCTGGGCATCAGTATTATTGGAATGGGAGTTGGTGCTGATCAAGGACTGGAAAAACTAGGTATTTTTGTAAAAACTATAACAGATGGTGGAGCTGCTCAGAGGGATGGACGGTGAGTTTTTACTTGATTATACTTTTTACAGATTTCTAACTGAGCCTAGTCACTGTCACTGGACATGCTAAATATTGTGAATAAAAGTACAAAAGCTGAATAAATATTACATTCCTCCTTTATGGTTTGTTTTTTCTTTTAAAAAGGGATTTTTTTTTAGTATAGGATTTTTTTTTTTTCCAAAATAAGAATAAATCGGCTTATAATATATATGAGAAAAGCTTAGAATGTGCCAAAGGGTAAAAGTGCCACAAAATATGTTGATGCCCCAGGCCACCAATCACTGTGTAAATGGTTTGAAAAAATATGAGGGCAAATACTGTATAAATTTTAATTGGTGATCTGCCTAGTAACTAAGGATCAGGAGATTGTTTTTAAGCAGTTAATTTCCTGGGACTCTGAAGTATTTACTCCTACTGTAAATACTTCTGAGTTTTAAGTGATACTTGCCAAGTCAGAGCAAGATATTTTTGTTGAACTGCTAGGAAAGCATTTATTTATTTTGCAGAATTCAAGTAAATGATCAGATTGTTGAGGTGGATGGCATAAGCCTCGTGGGAGTTACCCAATTCTTTGCAGCCACTGTGTTGAAAAACACCAAAGGCACAGTGAGGTATGTATATTTTCTATGAAATAATACTTTTTTTGGGTCTTTTTTTCATTAATAGAGAATGAAAAAAACATAATCTGTAAGTTTTACAAAGACATTCTTGAAGGCAACAGTATGGCAAACTAATTTCTTAAGCACATCTTAAGCTTTTTGATGCAAGGTAATTTGTTTTTCTTCTGTAGGTTTCTGATTGGGAGAGAGAAGCCAGGCACTCAAAGTGAAGTAGCCCGTCTCATTAGTGAGACCTTAGAGCAAGAGAGATGTCTGTATGAGCAGCACTATGTTCATGATGATACAGAGCAGGTAAAACATCATACACATTTGCATATTTTAAAAAGTACATGATTACCACTACATGCAATAACTTCTGCAAATGGAACAAATGTTTTTTTGAATCAAATTCAAGAGAAAAAAATAAGGATAAAACAGGCAATGTATTGAAAAAAGAAAATACAAACTTCATACATAGGTATTGTCAAGGTACATGAACATCACTGCTTGCTATGCTTCCTATTTGTCAGCAATCCAAAAGATATTTTTACCTGTCAGCTCTGTGTGATTGTTTGGTGCATGGCTTACTTAGCTCTCTTTTGATGAAGTTTTTTTGTGACTGTTTGGATTCCTTATTTGTGTGCTTTTGTTATTGCTGCTACCATAGTGCAAAGTGTATGTGTTATGGAATGTCATGATTCTCCCATTTTGTCAGGATGATGACTATGATGATGATGACGATACATATGAGTCACATTTACATGGAAAATCTGTAGAAGTTTTTGATCTTCCTGAAAATGAAGATATCAGTTTAACACTGGATATGGATTCAGCACAGTCTCTCCTTAAATTTAAAGAGGTGTGGTTAAAGAGCAGTTTCTTAAATATTCTTTGTGATGCATTGGGGAGAATCTGAACCTGGTAAGATTTGGACAGAATGTCCTTCACATCCCCTTCATTGTGGTTTTGGATTTTTTTCCCAACATCACTAGTAAATCTCTGTGGTAAATGTCCCTTGAAATGTAATTCTGTAATTTTCTGATCCCAGCTTCTCTACACATATTTGTATTAAATGGTCCTTCGGTTTAAATTAAAATTAAAAAAAAAACACCTGGAAACAAGCATTAGAACCCATGAGAATCAGCCATTAGAACCCACAGAATCATGGACAACTACTTAAAACTAACTTTTCAAGTGTCATTTTGTGCATGCTCATACAATTGTGTTTTATTTCAGTTACAATTAAAACATGCAGTAACAGTAGCTGAAGTGAACCAACTGAAGGAGAAAGTAAGTTTTCAAAGAATCTTTTTATTTGGTGGTGTTATGTTTTTGGTCTGTGTTTTTTTGTTGTTTGGGCTTTTTCCTACCTATGAATTTTAACAAGAATAGACTGAATGCAGAAGGCAGCAATCTGTTCTAGGCTCTATGTACTCTGTGTTATGCTAGACAGGCTTTTCTGAGCTGAAAAGCTGTACTCAAAAAACAAAACACACCCCCAAAAAAAAGGGAGAAAAAAAAAAACAAACAAAACTCACAAAAACCCAAACCAACCAACCAAAAAAAATCACCACGAAACAAACAGACAAAAACATAAAGTCTGCCCCCGTGCCACTATAAATGGAAGGCTTCAGTATTACTGCTTAGAGTAGAACTGAATATAATGGAATGCTGCTGAAACAAGGTTCCAAACAAATATGAAAACATTTTCAGTGGCTAGAACTTGTCTTACTTGAGTATAGATTTGGTATTTACAGACAATGGTTTGTGGCTGATTTTCTGTTACTGGAAAATTCTGTTACCTTGTTTACCCTCTTTCCAGCCTCAAATTTCTGATGTGTTTGGGGGAGAAAGTTTTATTTGTTTGGGGGTTTAGGGTTTTTTGTTGTTGTTTGTTTTGGGGTTTTTTTGGTGAGGATTGCTTCAAGACAATTGCTTCTCTGAGAAAGGGTTTCTTGTTCTTTTTGCTGCTTTTTTCATTGATGCAGATCTGTGCATGGTTGTTTTCTGGAAATATTTGTTGTAGGTGAGCAGCTTTTATTCCATTGCCCTTCTGTGTTGCCTTGCTGAGAAGTGTGTACTCTAGGACAAATTGCAGCACATGGCTGTGACTGGGTAGCAAGTGGTCACAGGATAGGGCTTCAGAATGCAGTAATTTTGAGTAACACTATCTACTGGGGTTTTTCTTGCACTCTGCAAATGTTTAGAGCACCAAGTGCAGAGGGGCAAGGCAGCCAAAAATTCTTGTGTTCTTATAATAGTTCTGATTTTTGTTTCTGATGGTGCTTCTCCTCCTTGCAGTGTTCTTGAACTTTGGCCCAGCTGAATTGCTAAAAAAAAAAACCTTTTAAAAATGTTGGTACAACACAGCGCCCCATTTTTAATTCAAGAAGTTATTGGTCCTTTCAACATCTGTGTTCCATAAGCAGATGATCTTAACTGGTTTCAAAAGCAGTGATTTCCTCAGTGTAAATGGTGTCCTGAAAGAAGGAAGCATGAGCAAACTAAGTAGCGTCCTGCCTGCTCATTCCTCCAAGGCCTGGAGAACTTCACATGTGAACATTCCCTTTAACAAAGTGGCTGCTGCCAAGATAAAGGGGCCCCATCCCTTTCCTTTGTTGAGGGGATGTTTGGTGGTTTTATACATAACAGCCCCAGGAAAGCAAACCATGAGTATCTCATAATTTATTAGGAAGACTAATGGCTTACAAAGTACCAGGGAAGATCAACTGGTTTCTTTAGCTTTATTCAAAAAGCTGTTGGTAACAAAGTAGTAAAATAGGGAGCTTGTCTTACACAGGATAGGATTCTGTATCTCTATTTGCTTGTGAAGGTAATATAAACAGGTCTCTCCAGAAGTATGAAGAGACAGTACGATCTTGAACGAGTAAACATAAGCTGACAATAAACGTCTTATTAATTTTATCTCTTTAAAAAGAAGCGATAGTACTGAGGATGTAGTAAAAGACTCTTGGGTTTGAGTTCTAAACTTACTCAGATTAGCAAGGGTTGGAAGAGTTGATAGAATTTCTTTCAAAGTTCAGTGTCTTGTTTTAAATATTACTGAGAAGTATTTAATTATTATTTGCTATTTTCTACTTAAATGTGTATAAACAACTTCTTTATTAATCCTTTAGATTAATTCTTGAGTATTAATCTTTTCAGTTAAAAATTGTTGAAGCAGAAAAAAATGAATGGAAACTGAGTCGAGCCCAACTTCAGCAAAACTTAGACGAAAGCAAAGAGAAAATTAAAAAGTTAGAGACTTACTGGTTAGAGGCACAGAGTTTATGCAAAACAGTAAATGAGCATCTTAAAGAAACTCAAGAACAATGTGATGCCCTTGAAAAGAAATACAACAAGGCCAAGAAATTGCTTAAAGATTACCAACAAAAGTAAGTACTCCAAAATACCAGGTCTCTATTTATTACTTGTATGTTTTGTACATTATGGGGAAAACTGACAATAGCTAAGATTTGCTAGGATTTGCTTAACACGCTTTTTGTTTGTCAGAGTTTAGAGAAGGAGTGGGCTGTAAGTGCCGAGTTCTTCTGTACCTTAAGTCACCAGCTTCAGGAAAGGTTCTCAAAAAATTTTGCTGCTGCTTTTGATTCTAAGCCTAAGAAAAAATACTTAGTATTTCACTAACAAATTTTTTAAAGAACTGAGATGAGAAACTGTAATGTGTCTATACTTCTGGAAGGACTACTTAAAATTTGGCATGAGGTATTTGGTAGTACCTTTTGTTGGTGGTGGAAAAACTCTGTAACTTTGACCAACCTAAATGTTCCAAATAGGGTAGGCGTCAAAGGATATAGTAAGAGCCAGATACATGCGATTCAGTCTGAGTTAGGAGTTCTGTCTTGTATGGGGGAGTAAAAGGAATTCTGAGAATAAGTTAGGAGTTTGGGATATCTATCTAGCCCATCTTAAAACTGTGTACGACTTGAGCACTGTTGTCATACGGTTGTGTCCATTTGTTCAATTTTCTTTCCTCTTAGCTAAGCAAGAGCTAATTTCAAAATACTAGCAGTGTCTTGCTAATACAGAACACAATTGCTTCTTTTGATAGTTACTGTAGGCATATAATTCTTTTGTCCCCAGTTTCTACACTTGTTACTTACTTGTAAAGGCAGTTTGCATGGTCTTTTGCTCTGTAGCCCACATCCAGAAATTCTGCTTTCTACAGTGCATTTTTATGCTACATGGTGAGCTTTTTAAAGGTCTTCTTTCCCCTCTTCTCCCAAGCTTATCCACATGGAAGTTCAAAAGTACGTTAAGGTGACTGCTAATGTGCCAGTTTCCATTTCTTCGCTGTTCAGCAAAGTTCCATTACTTCTTTGGCTGTCCCTGAAGCTTTTGCTTTTTGTGTAGATGTTATACACTTATTTTCTGTTCTTCTATGTTATTCCATCTGACCTGCAGGAAAAAGCAGCTTTTATTTTTATTTCCTTCTTGTACTCATTGTTTCTTTTTGTAAAACCCAGCCATTGCAATTTTCTGTAGGATGAACCAAGTAGAAACTTGAAATGCAATTTATTTTCCAACAAAGAATTTTACCGTAGCTTTTGGAAGGAAACTACTGTGTGTGCATGTATCTTTCTGGAAGAGAGTAATATGTAATGGTTGGAGTTGTGCATGTATTTCACACTTTAAATGTATATGCAACTTGCTGCTTTTAAAGGTAGAGATGGTTGTAACTTTGTACAGAAAGTATTGCAATGCATCCTTTTTCACACCACAGTAAATTATAGAGTCATATGTATTTTCTTTTGAAGACAGTAAAGTATACGAATATATGTCATTTTGTGATGTTACAAGATTAAGGAATCCGTTATACCTTACAGACTGTTTATCAACGGAATGCTTTTTAGTAAATGCAGCTGTGCGTATTTCTATTTTATGGGGTTTTTTCCTACATTTCTCTATATTACTATTTCATATCTATGCATATATTTTTTTTACCAGAGAAATAGAATTTATGAAAAAAGAGGAGGACCATTCAAGGCTACTTGAAGAGAGAGACCAGAAACATGCAGAACAGATGAAAATATATCAGGAAAAAGTAAAGCAGTATTATATTTTGAAATAAACTTCTGCATTCTTGGAGATTTGTATCTCACTTATGCATTTTAATTCTTTCAGATTTCAGAGCTTGAAAGTAAATTAAAAATGTATGAGAGAATGCCATATATGTCTGAAGGTGGCAGTTTATTGGAAGACTGCTGTCAAAGTCCTGGCATTTTTAATGAACAGTCAAAAATAAGAGAAGAAAATGAGAAAGAAACTGAATCAATAGAAGAAAGACTAAATTCTTCAGAAATGTTAATTTCTGGTAAGTAGGTTGTAGGGTCTGTGATTTGCATGTAACAAAACTTAGGAGGAGTTATATGTATTTTGTTTGTTGTTAAAATAAGTTAAGTGTTTGATATTTCCTATTGACTGGGTTAATGTTTGACCTGAGCGAGTGTGGATATTTTTGTTTAGATCCCCCAACATATGCTGATGGATATAAATTTTTTTAATTGAAGAAATTGGGTTGAAATATATTTAAAATTAATTAGAAACTGCTATCACGATATGTTAAAATGTTATAGTCCTATATAAACCAGTATTTTCTTACAGTAATGATTAGCAGGTAGAATAATTCTGATTCCTGAATATTTTTTGGACAGTGGGTTGGAGAACTTGCCTGACAGGTGGTTTTGCTGTTTTGCTTTTTTTTTGTGTGTGTGTGTGTTTTGGTGTTTGTCTTGTTCTGTTTTTTGAAAAGGAGTACATATTTGTTGCAGATTTTGATGCTTTTGTTGGGGATACTCCCAGATTAGACACCAGTGCCCACAAAGCAAAAGCTCAGCTTGCTTTGAAAGTAAAACGCCAGCCACCTTCTCGATCAAAGCTGAAAGAATCTCTTGGGGGGGCTGGACAGCAGACTGCAAATGTACAGGTACCGGTGTCGGTAGATAATTACGCGTTGAGGAGCCTGAATGCATGCTCAGTTTTATCTGTATTTGCAATTGGAAATGTTGTCTGTGCTTCATTTAGACTGTGCCAAAGCGCTCTATTTTTATGTTGTATCAAGTGAAAAACCCTGTTTGGATGCATACCACACGTGATCTCTGACATGCTCTTTGTGGCACAGTTAATTTGAAGTTAGCAAAGAAGTATGTGAGACTGTTGTATTCTACTTCTGTTTCCTGAACGATTTTGATAGAGTGACAGTGGTATGTTCTAAGTTATGCTTATCTATCATCATCTAAGTCCACAAAAAGTGTACCAAGAAAATGTTATAGCCTGTTTCTGGAAATCAATTGGAGAATTGAGATGTGTATAGATGGTATATGAGAGCCTGTCACAGAGGGAAAAGATTGAACTACTTCAGTTCAGTTAGACTGAAAAATGGTTGCATTGAATTGGAATGGCCAAGATGTACCAGAACGCTTCTGTCCTGGCTATAGAAAGATGATTTGGGGTGTGCAGAAAGATATATGTAGGGATGGATAAAAGAAAATCTATAAAATCAGCTTCTTGTGATTTACCTGGTATTTACATGTGATTAGGTTTAAGTCTTCTGCACTGGGGAGGCTTGTGTGTGGCATAGCATATCCTGGCAAAAGATCAGATAGCAAGTGACTATGTCATATTTATAATAAAATAACTTTTGAATTTGTTGAAGGATGAGGATTCAGAAGACACTGTTCTCAACAGAGAACTTTCCACTGTGTATCTAACAAAGACCTCAGAAACAAGTGAAAAATTAACTCTTGCACACTTGGATGGCATCGAGCAAAAGAGTGAAAAGCCCGAACAAACAGAGAGCACAGAAAGTCCTCTAGAGTCAAGTCCTTCTGCTTCCACACACTCTTCTCCAGTACACAAACCAAACAACGAAAATAGCAGAGCCACCACTCATTCACCTCCTCCTGAAGAGATGGCTCCAAATTCTCCTCAAGGATATCCCAACAACGCTAAGCAAAGAGAAGGAAAAGAGAAAGGGACCAAGGGTAAGACTTCAACACCAAAAGATTAAAATAATAATGTGTCCTGAAGTATTACAGATTTTGGATATAAATGAATATTGAACAATAAACTACTTTGAGGGAAAATGAGTTGACTTAAAAAAAAATAATTACCTATTCTAAAACCACTTGTTAACTCCTTAGGAAAGTTTGAAGTTAGCAAGAAAGTGTGCAAATTCATTGTATTCTATTCTTACTTACTGAAGGATTTTGATACAGTATGTTCTGAAATACTCTTATCTATCTTTTAATTCCTTCATTTGCAATAAGTTAGTTACCAAATTTCTACAAAACCTCAACATTTCTAAAATAACTTATAGCACCAAGGATCTAAAAGATGCCTGCAGGATAAATGCAGGTTTAATTACAGAAAGGATTAGGTCTAAGTCAGTTTAGTAAAAGCTCAAGCCTATAAATCTAGAGTCTAAATGGTTGCCTTGGCATAAGATAGAGGGGAGCCAAGTCATTGACTGGATAATCAGTAAAGGTCCTAAAACATAAGTGACAATGTGTTGGACAGTAAGTTTAAGTGATTTCCCGATTCCCAGAAAAATTCAGTGTTGACTTTGTGCTTCCATATATTATCAAGGTTTAAACAAGATACAGATTCTGAACATTATGGGAGTTACTGCATTATTTATCTTGTGCTCTTAGGATATTTCTCAGTAGGAAAAGGTTAAAGGCATTAACAGCATAGCAGAACTAATCATTATTTGATAGAAATGTTTGGCTTTTGTCTTATTAGTGACTGAAAGAGGGATCAGATAGAATATCTTAAATGCTTGTGATTTCCTTTAGTCAGCTAGCACACTATATGAAGGCAAATTGTACTTGCTATCTTTTCTATACAGCTTAGACAAAACTTTTAATACCCAGAAAAAAGGGTTTGCTTTATACTCTCCTCGTTCTATGTGTTTCTATAAAGTCTTAAACAAAAATAATCTCTACTTTAACTTCTGTTTTGTTGGTTGGTTTGTTTTTTTCCAAAAAAACCCACAACTTACAAAAACAAGTACCTAATATATAAGTGATTTTGCTTTCTTTTCTATGACTTTTTTTTTGCGATGGCTGAAGCACTGCAAATATTTTTTTAAAACTGGCAGTCCCTGGAGGAGCTAATTAATGCAGTATGTAAAAGATGAGGATTAATATTGAAAGCTCACTCTTTGCAGGCAAAATAACACTAAATGCCATTTCCTGCCAGGTTGTTGCTCTCTAACCATATAATGTCTACCCGATTATTTCATTGAATTAATCCTGTCTATCACCTTCCCATCCATTCATGTATCAGTCTGTATTTTATCCTATTGTACTGCATTTTAGAAATTAAATCTTTTTCTTAAAATAATGCCTCTGGACAGAGAGTTGAAAGCAAATTAAATTAATTAAAATTAATTCTTCTGGTTTTCTATTTGACAGGAAAAATAACCAGTTTAATTGGTAGTTATAATTTATTGGATATTACATGTTTAGAAAGAGCAATTAACAAATAAGATAAAGATCTGATGTTGATCAGAAACCACTGAGCAGATATGGCAAAGGGAAAAAAAACACCAAAAAAACCCAAACCCCTGACTATCCTAACTATTCAGCATGTAAACTTTGAGATAACCATTATGCTTCAGAAAGGATATTACTGAATGGGGTGGTGGGGAGTTGTCCACAGTTCTGTGATTTTGTTTTTCATGATCCTTGAAGATACCTGTGTGCATTACTTCATGTCAGAAGTTGTCTTGAAGACAGAGCTTAAAAACCTACTTTGTCTTAGAAAAAGTAGGCTGCGTCTCTTTCATGGGCAGCTTAGTTATGAAACACCTGATTTCCCAAAACATATTTCAATAATTTTAAAAATGTCTACTCTAGTAGCCTAACAATTTAAAAAGTAGTATGTTCAGTACTTGCAGTAATCTGTCACAATCCACTGGGAACAGGTAGTGTGATGTTTACGTTTATCACTTAATGATTGAGCAGTTGGAATTGAATATACTCCCTCTGGTGAAAAAATGGATCCTAGCAACTTGTATTCCAGTTTTGAAAATACTGTAGTCTTGGTAGAGCTTCAAATGTCAATTATTTTTCTAGAATAGTCAGTTTGTAGACTATTTCCAAGAAACTCAGCTTGTTAGGATCTGTGCGCTCTCCAGGCACTGGCTACAAGGTTGTTGGTTAGGCATGCTTTCTGGAGCTAGCAGCTTCCACACATGGTCAGTATTGTAACTAGCTGGCCTGGACTAGCTACTGAACCAGAAAAAAATGCAGAATGAACATTTTCTAGTACTTCAAGCATAATAAAGGACCATTAAGTGCTGCAATTGCTCAGCTGTTGCTTTAAAACTGAATTTTTCATGCCAATGTCTTTTGATCATTAGTAATCTGAAGTTGGCATTTTGCAGAAGAGGTATTTTTTCCTAAAGCTATCTTAAACTGTCTTTTGTTCATTAATTCATTGAAGCAAAACACTTTTTTTTTTTCTGTAGGTGGTACAGAATTATTATATATCAAAAGCAGTATTTCTGATCAGTCAAAAGAAACTGTTCTGGATGTTCATTCACATCCAGAATGATGGGGAGATGCTATAGAGAATGACTTATATTGACATGGCTGTAGTACTTTCAGCTAGTATCTGCATGTGTGAATGTGAATTTTAACACTGTTACTGAGGATTTAGTATCTTATTTACTTAGAAGCATTATCATAAATACTTGAAACTTGCAAGTATTTTTAGAATGTTTTTCATTTGTCTATGAAAAGGAGAAGAGAAGAAAAATGAAGACAGGATAGTAGAAACAAATGAAGGAACATCAGCAGGGAAGTCTAAAAGAAGATTTCCAGACTTTGGGTGAGAATTTACTTGTGTTTTTAAAAAAAATGTTGAGGAAATCTCATAATGCTACTGTATAGCAACACCACTGGACAGAGTCTTTCTCATCTTGAATTTATATTTCACTCATGTTTCTACCACGTTTTGATTTTATATATCTGTACATTTTTCCCCTTCAAAGAATTTCTTCAGATTGTTCATTTTTTTTTTTTTATCTGAATAAACAATTTCTCTATGAATTCAATTACAAATCTGTGCATATTTTTATGTCAAAATATTGTTGAGAGTCGAGACTCTAATGCTGTGTCCTGCTGGGGTTTCAGTCTAAAACAGATACTGTGTTGCCTTCATTCCTTCTACAGCAGAGGTGTTATTACAGAGGGTTTGGCTGTAGTAGCTCCGTACTGAGCTATTCTTGGAGGCAAGCAGCAGTGACATCACAAAAATGATAATTTATTTCACACACATACAATGTAAGTTATTGGCTTAGTTCTAGTCACTCTGCATTGCATATGACCATAATCATGCTCTGTAACAACATACATGTGGCTTTATATAACTGTTGAAATTGATGTAAAAACTAGCTTGCTGATTAAAAAAAAGTTTCACTGTGTAAGCGTAAATGCTTTATGAACATTGTTGGTTTTTACTTCAGTGGATTACGGAAATCTGGGGGCAAAGGCAAGAAACAAGAAAAAGAAAATCTAAGAAGTTCTCTGGATAGCAGGTAGTTGTTTTGCTTTAATACATGCATACTGCATTCCTGTAGGTTTTAACCTAAGAATTTGTTTAGGACTAACCTTACTGTTTGTCCTTAAAGTTCATTCAAGTATTGAAAATTAATATAATGATGTGGAGATGAGCTTCTGATCTCATGAAATAAGAAAAATACATAGAATAGTATAAGGGAAACTGTAAAGCAGGAATACATTTTTAAAATGGCTCATAAGATTAACATATTTACCTATCCTAAACATAAAAACTATATTTTGCTTAGAAAGATTTGAATTTAGTAAATTAAATTAGCAAAATGTTTGAAATTGTTAAATTGTTGTGTGAAATATTGCCCAAGCTCTTAAATTTACATTGTTCAGTGCCTCAAACTATTTTGCATTGATATTGTAGGACAAGTGTCAGTTTTCATTTTAAGTCTCAGTTGTTCTGCAAAGTGGGTAAAAACCTGTGGTGTGTGTTTTGTGTTCTGGAGAAGCTGTGTGTTTAGGGGGCAGGGTGGGGTTTTTTTGCTGTTGTTGTCTAAACACCATTTAATCTACTTATTTCAGAGGTTCCAGAGAACTGTTGGGTGACTCTGGCAACAATCTATCTGCATCAGATTCGGATTCCCCTGTTCCTACTTGCATGCCTTTCTCTTGGTTTGGAGACAGCCACAAAGAGCCTCAGATTTCTAGTAGCAGTCTGCACGTTACTCAGAGTGGGCAGGACAGTTGTGAACACGGTCAAGAGAAGAACAGAAGCAAGGTAAAGACGACTCATTTGTGCTTTGAATATTTAAGTGTTGTATCTCGATAAAGTAAAATCATCAGTGCTTAGAATGTAGGAGTTTGATGCCTTAGTCCTTGACTATACCACCTCTTACAAATGTTGCTGCAGAAGTTTGAGACTTCATAGTCCTCACAAAGAGAAACTATATGAGCATTCTTGTTCCCTCCTGCTCATCTGAAACATCAGTGGAGGCCATTCAGGCTGAAGTAGCACCTACGGAACAATCGCAGGGTTTGTTTTTTTCCACTGGTTAATAATCCTAGTTTTAGGGCAGTAGAGTTTTAAAAGCCAAATCTGTTTCCCTGTCTACAGCCTAACATTTGGAGGAAGCATACGTAAATAGAGGTCAGCTTCCCAGGCGGTTGGCCAACCAGTTCTTACCATACTAGTATCTAGCGGTGGAGTACCAGACAGGTACTCCAGACAGGTACAGCATCCTGGTTATCATTAGTGATTTTAATATTGAAAGCTAAGAGAGACACACATATGTAGAACACACTTTCTTCTAGAAAACTGCTGAGTAACTGGTAATGTTCTAATAATTTAAAGCCTATTTGAAAGAAATGGCTGTAAAAAGAAGTTTAATGTGAGCGCTGTCTAAACATTTTATAGTAGGTCTTACATTGGAATAGTTTTTAAGTCTTACTAATTTACCTTCATTCTTGTTTCCTGTAGATTTTCATAATTTTAGCTGTTTGCATACCCTCATAAGCTAGGTTTATTCTTGAGTTTTACATTTTTCCTCTCCATTTCGTTTGTCTAAAATACCCTTTCACTTTTTTCTTTTCCTCTGTGTTATTAGGGGGAAATGCATTACAAACATAGAAGAGAAACTTGCTGGGTTGTAGTCTATGAAGTCACGGATATTTTGCGTAGCTGGCAGATAACATCAGGATAGCTTTCCATGTCTACAGCTGCTGATTGCACTAGGGCACTGTTATAATACATTTTTATAAACTACATTCTGCTTTCTTAGTGTGAATTTACAGTCTCTGTGACAGGAGTAAGCTGTCTGCATACACAGTCTGTAAAAAATACAGAAAGTGGTTTTGGATGCATACAATACGTTACTATAACACAGGAAATTTAGAAAGAGTAGGAAGTTTGTAATCTCTGAAGTAGAATGACACTTTAGAGAACTCCATCCAATGTGTGTCAGTCTGGTGTATTTACAGCTTTTGCATTGTTTGCTTCTCTTGAAGTATGTAGTGGCCAAAAGAGTTTCTGTAAATAGCCCAAGAATCCTGGGACTGCAACATCCACATTGAAGGGGCTACTCATACACTTTGGTACAGTTTTTGATTAAATAGGAGTGCATGGTTAACCTCTTAATAGGCTGTACCACAGCTATCAAGAGATGCTTTCTCCCCTGAAATAACAGCCTTTTCTTCTCATCATTGTATACTTTATCCAAGTTGATTATTGCTTTATCCTTCCAGCGTTTTTATTTTTTGTTTTCTTCTCATGCTCCAGTATGTAATTGCTGCTTGATGCTCTTTTCCTTAGTGCCAGTTGCAAACCATCAGCTGAAAGAATATACAAGTTGTCAGTTATATTTCTGCTTTGTAAAATGGTAGAAAGCTGACCATGTTAAAAGAACAGATGCTGACATATTAATTGATACTAAAATCATATTCAGCCTCTCTGAAGTCAGGCTGGTTTTACTTTGCAATATTTGGGGTCTTTTATAAAGATAGTAATGTGACAGTAGCTACTGCTTGGAATGACTAATCTAAACCTGCAGATGTTATTGTAGCAGAAATCTAATGATCAAGGCTTTGGTTGGTAAACCTCCCTATGAAAAGACTTTAAAACTGAGAAAGAAATGTGCTCAACCACTCAGCAGTGAGTCTTGTTACTAAAGCAGCATAACAGCAGGGACAAAATCATCTTCCCGGAGTTTAAGGAAAGAATCTTAATTGATGTTAACTCTATAATATTAATTTCTTTTATGTCTATAATATCCCATATGATCAGGCGAAAGCATTTCTTAAAGAGCAGGCAGAAGTAGAAACCCTACACCAAAAACTTTGTCATGTAAAAAAACCCTTACTTGTGGTACTCAGTCTTTCAAATTATGTATAATTTCCGCAGTTGTGCTTTAATGTTGATGGTGCCAGAAATGTAATTATATTTTATCTGTTTCTGCAAAATTTGCGCTAAAAATTACTACACTTAGAAGGATTTTGTTTTCTTAAAGTTAGTCTTAAAAACTTAAAATTTGGCAAAGGAATTAATCGATTTATCATTGCTTGTGAAAACTACAAACAGAAGAACTAAAATCCTGTGTGCTTCGTGTTTGCAGACTGTTGAGCCTTACGAGATGTCTGAATTACGTAGTTCTTAAACTAGTCCCTTTATTAATCTTCCCCTTGATTTAGTCCTGTCCTCTGATACAATAGAAACACATGCATGTTGTTCATATTAATTATTTTTCCAGAGCATTATTTAGCTTCTGTAAGCTTGTATGCCATGTTTCATTTTCATTACAAGGTGGTAGAACATGATTTATCCAAATTCTGTGCTCTTCAGGAATCAAAAATCTCTGCAACTGGCTCTAAATCCTTTAAAAGGAAATTACTACTTCTTGAAACCAAGTAGGAGTAGTAGGAGAAGAAAACATTACAACTGGTGCTGAGATGCTTTACTTCTGGCTATGTTTTCTTCATATTTTTTTCTAAGATATCATTAAATATCTTGCTGAACCCTGTCTCTTTTTTTGGTACAATTTTCTTTCTGAATTGTTTTCAGTTTGCAGCCTCAGGTAGCTAAAAGAAAAGCTACTAAATAGATTTTCATAGGTGGGTGGACAAAGTATTCTGTTTCTGGCAGTACTGAAAGACTGAAGTAGTCCCTAAAATATATTGTAATTAATAAAATAGTCTACATGTTAAATAGAACACCATTTTTCAGTCATGTATAGTAGTATCACACACCATGAAAAGGTAGCAGGAGAACTCACTTTGTGGTTTTGGTTTGGTTGGGTTTTTTTGGTTGGTTGGTTGGATTGTGGTGGATTTTTTTTTCCCCCTTGCTTTTGGGTTTTTAGTTTTTCATTTAAGACTGGAAATGTGTGTGAGTAACTTAGGGTAGAAGGGAGTGCAAAGATCAAATATCCACAAAAACAGAGAACTCTGAATTTTCTAGAGTATACATTAAATAGAAATCAGAACGCAAGTATTGGAAGTGCTTAATGAAGACAACAGAAAAACGTAGTTCTCGTAATAGGAGCATAAGTTACTGAAGACAAATGTCTTTTAACATCAGCTTCATTTAGGATTTCAGATTATTTGTGCATGTAGGGATATGGTATGCATTCTTGCAAAGTATAATTAGTTTATTAGAGACTTAGAGAAAATTAAAATATACCTAATAGTGCAATAATAATATAATAGCTCATATCTAATAGCTCAATAATTGCTTACTGTTTGGAGGCAACAAAGAGTGGTGCTGAGGAATAAATTTTAGGAAGGCAAAAGTAGGAGTCGTGCTTTTGGCAGAATTATTTTCCACTTAATAAAGAAAAATAATGTAGAGGTCAGGATCTGAATTGGAAATGGAGGTAATCAAATTAGAAAGTACTGTGAGAAACACAGACATTGGTATTCTTCAGATGGATTTCTTACCAAACCTGCTGTGAAGTTTTCAGGTGTAGCATCTGTTTTTTTCATAGTCTTCAGCTTGAGTCACAAGCTGCTGGATAAGTTTGAACCTAGATCCTCCAGCTTTTAGATGCTAAGGCAGGTGTACAGATCCAAAAGCTTCCCTTAAACACAAAGTGTAATAACTGAATGTAAACAATAAATGCTGTGAAGATATTACATTCTTCCAATATGATAGTTCTAACGTTAGGTAACAAAGTAAAATTCAGGTTAGAAATATAACTATTTAAAAAAAATATCAATAGTACTTCATTAATTTGTTAAAAGAACAAATTTGTCAAACTATTTTCAAAACAGAAAATTCTTCTGAAAGAAATTAATTCAGGCTGTCAAACTCCATAGCTATGTAGATATACAGTGTTAAACCATTTTTGTAAAGACATTCAAGTAATTTTTTAACTTTTATGTTCAGCTTTATTATAGTGTTTTTACACTTACGTACTTTAAAGAAGATTTTGCTAGCTTGATACAGTATTTATTGTAAAAATTCTTCTAAAAGTTTTACATCTATGTGGTATTTTTCATAGCAACATAATTTTCATATTACATGATTCTGTGCCTCAAATGCAGCCACCCGAGCATTGAACCGTAGAATGGTTTGAATTGGAGGGGACCTATAGAGGTCATCTAATCCAATCCCTCTGCAGTGAACAGGGGCGTCTCTAACTAGATCATGTTCCTCAGAGCCCTGACCTTGAATGTTTCCAGGAATGGGGCATTTACCACGTCTCTGGGGAAACCTGTTCCAGTACTGTTAAAATGAACAACAGTACGACACAGTATTCTTGTGTGCTCTTATTGGGGGTGTTGCTTGTTACTGTGTTTTAGAATTCAGAAGTTTAGCCAAAAGCAGTCAGATACTTGATGTAGTAAGTGCATTTCTTATGTAATCTAAAAATAACTGAGTAATAGTATATTTTTAAGAAGAAAGTGAGAATGTCACCTTATGACCTGCTTTTATGAGGAGTGAGTTAATAAAACGTTATTTCCACTTGTTTGCAGAGTAGAATTGTCATAGATGATACATACCATAGCAAGCCAAGTTGTGAACTTTCAGGGTTAGTGACAGAACCAAATCTGTCAGGTCGTTCACACACTTTAACCTTCTCTTCAAATGAGGTGAGTTTCAAAGTGTGTATATGTGTCTTGTTGATGTTGTTGTTCACACTACAGCATGTTTAATATAAACATATTTGTGTAATGTGAAACTAGATGGCTGTTTCCATATTTGAATGTTGAAGAGCACTGTAAAGAATCGTAAGCTGTTACTTAAGGACACAGACTAGTAGATGCTGAGTCAGCCTTTGTGGTCTGATCCTAGTTATATCATAAAAATTAGAATGAACTCTCTCTGATGAAATTGCA